TATGGTGTTTCTTAAAAAATAGACTATTTTTGCTCTATTTTCTTATGGAAAAAACCCAACAACAACAACAAAAAAATTGAAACAAAACATTGATGAAAAGTTTAAAGTTGGAAATAGTTTTTAAAAATCATATTATCTGCATCGTTTTTTTACTATTTTTGAAATACTAGTTTTAGACTATATTTGCTAGGTTTTTTCTCTCTGATAATATGTCCTTTTTCAAATTGGAAGTTCAATTGTTAAATTTGACATTTTAAACCCATTTACTCTTTTCACATTTCTTATTTGCCTTTTCTACTCTTTGGATTTAATCTTTGGGTCTTTTCACTAAACGTTCCCTCCATCATTCCTCTCTCCCATCCTCTTTCTCCATCCTTGCTTTCTCCCACCCTTTTCTCTCTCCTTCTCCTCCCATCCCCCTCCTCCTCCTCCTCCTCTCTCTCCTCGCTCATTGCACTCACTCACTCCGATTCTCACTCATCCCTCTCCTTTTAATTCCCCATAATGATTTTTATGTATTCTCTTTCTTTCTCTCTTTTGACATTTGTTTCTTTCTCTCATTTGACAAGTTTGACTTTGCACCTTCTCCTTTTTTTCTATTTATTGCATCATCAGAATAGCAACCATTTTAAAAAATAAAAAAAAACTTAAGGGAAATTTAACTACCCTACTATATATCCCATAGAAATCATGTTCAGAGTATACATAGCACATTATTATCATGTGCACACATTTTAAAAGGTGATGCACATGTCTTTTGAAATGCCCTAGGTCGATTTTTCAAAAGTAGCTGCGATCATGTTCATCATTCTCATCTAACTGCAATGTCTCACGTGTACCATGTTATTATCAAATGTTGCTTCTGTTTCATCAACATCAAATCATTTCAGGTCCAACTCATGCTGACCATTTAATCATTAAATCCATCAAAATCTTTCTTAAATCTGTCAGAGTCTTTCTTCTTTCTCCTTCTTTTTCTTTAAAAAAATCTTATTGCAAAGTCCCAAAAGTACTTTTTGCTACAAAATGGTAGTTCTTCAGTCATGAAAAAAATAGCATTCTTCTCTCTCCTTTTTTTTAATACATCTAATTGCAATGTCCCACAAGTAATTTTTTGCTATGACATGGTAGTACTTTATAGTAAAGAAAAAAGAAATAAAATTCTACTCTCCCTCTCCTTCTTTAAAAAAAAAATCTAATTGCACTGTCCCATGAGTACTTTTTGCTCCGACATGGTAGTTCTTCATAGCTTTAGTACTATTCTTCTTTCTAATACGGTCAAAACCATCATCATACAAGCTTTATTATCCTGCCCCCAGGTATTCTCGCATTCTTCTACAATACTTCTGCGTCATCTATCTTGTCTTCAACGACAACAAATCGCAACCAATCTCAAAGCTATCGTAACTGACAGCCATTTCCTATGCCCAGGGCTCATCTTCTAGCTCATCTCCCTGTAATTTGCAGTTCTCTTCGTGAACAGCTCCTCCGATTTACATGGAATATCTCTTTCCACATATTCAACACAAAAGAAAGGCCACTAATTGTAACACAAGAAATCCAGCGGGGATTTGTTTATAATTGCAGCTCAATCAGGCATTCAAGACAAGTTTATTTTGGGGGAAATTAAGACGAGATCCCAAGATCTAGAGCTTGGTCTCTTGGATTTAATGTGTTCCTACAGTCAATACAAGAAACTGAAGAAAGCTGCTCTAAATTGGCAAAAAATGGAAATTCAATTTAATTATCAAATTAATTGAGATAGATCTCAAAACTGATATTAAGCTCACACATGCCTCCTCTATTTTGAAGCAATTAATTAACTGGAAAACAATTTTTCTTTCTTTATAGCGGGTGTTTCTTTACCTCTAATTTATAATAATAATAATAATAATATTACATTAAAATGAAAAAATGCAATGGGAACAGTAGACAATGAGAACAAATTAGAGGAATTGAATGGGAACCAGCTACACAAAAATATTGAATCACCCTCAATACTTCATCTACAAGAAGAACAAATTTCATCAGTTTTTGCTCGGTTACACATCAGCAAATACACATCAGAAAATTATTTTTTTGAATAATGATGATAATAATAGCTATACAGCAGCCTTTCTAGAGGATACAAGGCACTGTCCCTTATTCTAAGAACAGGACAAAGAATTGTAGAGGTATGTTTTAAGATGTTACCCCCCCCCCCCCCCCCCAGAAGTCAAGAGAAATACTATTTCTTAAAGAACCCTTATTTACCATTAGTAATCTATTTTTGTATTCAGAGCCCAAAGTGTGTACTTTAGTTAACATCCTTCTATTTCCAACCATATATGTCAAAATAGCAGGTATTGTGAAGCCATCTTGTTCCATCATCTTCATCGGACACAATATCAATAGCTAATCATAATTTCTAAATTAATACCCTAGTTCCCTTCCTGGAGCACAATAGCTTCTTGTAGGGACAAATTTGAATGACAAAGTGAGATATAACGAGAAATCCCTTTGATGGCAAGGACTCAATTCATCAGGTAATTCATCAATTGTCAGGCTATCCAGAGTATACCCTAGTTATGAGAGGCAGACAAAAGGCAGAGTAAATAGAGACCTCATACCAATTCATTACCGGATTGACACGCCTCTTACACTCTCCATTCATCCACTTCCTCGCCCATTGAGTCTCTTTTTTTTCTTTCTGGTTTTGTCCGGTCCTTTCTTTTCTTCTTTCACCTTTGCATTTATAATCTCATCAAGCTTCTGGAAAATGGGATTAGTTGCTTTCTTTTCTGAAGTGATTGTTTAGGATGAGGAATAAGTGACTTTGGGCAAACACAACGCTTCTTGTCCACGGTCTAATTCAATTCAATTTGCCCCTAGAGTCGAACAATTGACTGGTGTGTATGTATCCAGGCATTACTCCCGCCTGGGATGGTCATGAATGGCCATGGACTTATTGAATGCCCTTTGTAGAGCAGGGACTCTGTTTTTTCTTTCTACCATTTTTTAGCATCACCCCATTGACAAGCTTTTGTTTTCCAGCATCTGCCTATCAGTGGGGTGCATGAAGCTCTTTCAGCTCACAAAGAATGGGAAATTGAATAATTGATGCCTGTAACAAAGTGGTGTATTTCACTGCAGCCTTGAGGAGTGTGTCATATTGATGTTGATAGCTAGGGCTAAGGACCTCTAAAGCTGATCATCCATACCCCTCATTCAAACCCACTTCCATTTCGTAAGCCTTACAAGGTGTGACACACTATCACCTAATGAACACAGCACTCAACAAAAAAGGGTAAATTTCAGTAAAGGCCAAGTTTAAAAACAGAATAATTAATTGTCAATGCAATCACTTAAAAGGAGAGTCCATCCTTGAGAGCAAACTACTCCAGACGAAAGCAGAACAAATCAGAGAAGTAGACAGGTGAAAGTTATAGTGAAATTGGATAAAAAATGAGAGTCCTACGTTTGAATTTTGTAATAACTTCAGGTATGGGCTCATTAAATTGGTTGAATCAGTGATGTAATGGCAGGCTACTTCCCCCTTGTAACTTACAACACACATAAGGACTATAAAAATAAAAAATGTAAGGCTCAGGAGGGTCTATTCTCTTCAGAGGACCTATAATAATATGCTATGCCTAATATAGCAAAAAAAGCGCAGGCAGAGTGCAGAGTTCCCTGAATTAAGTAAACTCCCTGCAAGCCTAGCAAACTCTGAAGGTAGTTTGCAGGGTTCATTTTCATACTGGTGCAAGAATGGGCGATTACAAAAGTTTTGTTTACATCATGCTTCAAGTTCATGCAGGGGTATGGGTGCCAATTAAGGCTAGTGGATATCAATATCATGTTCCATATTTTCATCTAGCCCTTATCTAGTTCATTACAAAAATCTAAGGAAGTAAGGCCAAGCCCAAGCTAATTCAGTCTGATATTTGTGATAATTGATATTGAATCCTGATCAGCTGATTAGGTCTACGATCGGAAAGATTTCCTTTTGCGACAGCCACTTAAAATCCACCCCTAACCCTATTTTATCATGTTTTATATATCATATAATTATTAGATATATCATTCTAGGCCCTACATGTTCTAAGCTTATGTGTAGGCCTACCCATATTTTTTTAATGTGGGTGGCTGTCGCAAAGGGAGGTCTACCTCTAGATCTATGATCTGTTCTGTCCATAAATTGGATTGGAAGCATGAAAATATTTCAGAGATTTATAAATTAGATCTACTTTGTCATTATACATCTGACTGAGGCATGCTGAAATAATTGAAAACCTGTTAAAGTCTGGTAAGAATAAGATCGAGGAGTCTACTACGACTCACGAGTATTCAATTTCTAGACATCAAATTATGAAGCATGTGGGGCTGTAGTAAAACATGTGCACTTTGCTCACCACTGAATTAGCATTTATGAGTCAAATAAAATAAGTCATCTCTTCTGATTTCACAAAATGAAAGCACCTCATCTAATATAACAATCAGAAATATCGGAAGTCAAATAGCTCATCCAATAACAATAAAAGACAATCGAAGTTTGACGTACCTTCATGCCGAAACAGGCAAAACAATGAAGCCATTTTGTTTGCTCGGCATTCAACCAATCATCTGGTTTGTTGTCAACAGGTAGGCGGACCGATGAGGCAGGGAGGCGGAGCCTGCGGACAGAAGTGGTGTGATTTGCATATGAATTATGCAGCACCTGCTGTGCTTTTGACAAGTTGCTCCAATCAGTGTGCGCGAAACGCCTATTCATTACATGCGTGAGTAGGGCCGCCTCTTTATTGGACAAGCATCGCTTTCATTATTCTATTACGTGTATATTATTCATGTTATTACAACTCCTCGGTATAATGCTCTATGGTTGCCCGCTTGTGAAGAAGTATTTGAACTTAACCTCTTCTTGAATACTATCTTACATCTGACTCTTCACTTTGCATTCTGTTTCCAGATTGTATGCCAATAAGCACTACTTAAACGGACCAGGCATAGATAAGGAATTCATAAGTCTATAATCTGTCGCTCGCATGCCGGATTTCGAGCACAAGCCTTTCTGGGACTCTGCCTATACTATAGTATAACTTCGCCAATCTACCTCTCCAGTAACTTTTCTTCATTTTCATCATTGTTGCTTTTTCTTCTGTTTTGAAAGCCAGCATCCGACTTCATGATGATGGACTCTGCGATGGGGAAGGGGACCGACCACGTGAAGCGGCCCATGAATGCCTTTATGGTTTGGTCAAGAGGACAGAGGAGGAAACTTGCTCAGGAAAACCCTAAAATGCACAACTCCGAAATCAGCAAGAGGTTAGGAGCCGAATGGAAGTTGCTTTCTGAGGATGATAAGAGGCCATTTATCGACGAGGCGAAGAGGCTACGAGCCCTACACATGAAGGAGCATCCCGACTACAAGTACAGGCCACGTCGCAAACCCAAGTCGTTGATGAAACGAGACAAGTATGCATTCCCGATCCCCTGTATTCCGACGTCGTCGCCGTACCAGGTAGCCACATCGCAGGCCGACATCATGAACATGGCATCGGCAGAGAAAGCACGTACGTACCTGTCATCGCATCAACATCACGCCGCGGCGGCAGCGGCAGCAGCTAGCCAATACTCTGTGCTGGAACACGCTCAAAAACTGGAATCTCCGACATCACTGATCAGAGACTTTCCCCATCATCCAGCGCTGTACCCTCCACCCCATATGTACCCTACCTCGGCCGGAGCAGTCCCCGGCAGTGCGTTTGGAAAGTTACCCGGCGGTTCTGCAGCAGCGGCCGCAGCAGCAGCAGCAGCTGGTTACTCAGCGCAACCGTACATGATGCCCTACCCCGCCTGGCCCGGCCAAGACGGTGTGCAGCGACCGGTGGCGTACATCCTCGTGAAACCCGACATGGAGCCCTACGGCCCAACTCACCCAGCGATTCGGCCAACCATGCCCCTACCGACAAGACCGACAGCGGCGACGGCTCTCTAATGCCAAAAGACACTTTCAAATCTGTGCTGCTTTGAGAACTCTATTGCCACAAACGACCATGTTTAATAACGAGACATTTCGACAAAAAATGGTGCTTGTATTTAACCGGCATACTTCAACAAGGCACAGATTTACAGAACTTAAACGACCCGGTGAGAAAGAACCCTTTTTTTTCCCCGGTGAAACTTTTCCCTTTTCTGAATCTATTATTTTGCTATTGTAACACTTGTTCCATTTGTATTTCTTTTGGTGACATTTGCACTATCCTGTTTTAACGAAAATTACTATTTTGTTCAGTTTTGACGAAATGAAGAATCATGGAGGATTAAGATAAGAGAAGTAACAGAAAATAATGATTGCTGCCTCATAACTTTGTTTTGGTTTTACATTTACAAGAGCATGTATTGTCAAGTGCTTTCTTTATTACATGCTGTCTACATGGCTGTCTAATTGATGGGTGACCATTATTTCTTTTGAATCTTTCTTTAAAATGTAATTCCGTTGTTGTTAAAGTAAACTGTTAATATCAAACATGATTTTAAGAGGATTTATTATGCTTATAACTCGATTTACTTCGGGTATCACCCCCACAGAAATGCAGTGTCATTTTCTATTTCGTTTATGATTAGAAAATGCAGTATCTCATGGTAAAAGTGTCCTCAACTGGAACAAAAAACTTTATTGAAAAACAAGCATCCGGGGATGTATTAAAAGTTCTGAATTATTAGACAATTTCATATTAAAAGCAAACATCCAGGTGCTTATTATTTCTATTATTCGTTGTTATTGTTGATGTCCTTTGTTTTTTTTTGGACACAAGCTCAGAAATATTCTTAATAAATTCATAGTTTGAAATCATGAAGTGCATGTGAATATAATGAAATAGAAATAGCATGTCAACAAGGACTGTGCAACACATTTGAGAATATTTTCTTTTCCTTCTTAAAACGGGTATAATGATGTTTAGCCAAACATACAGCTTAATGTGTTAATATCATTTGTGACTAACAGATTTACACAACTGTAATTTGGTGCAGATTTTCTTTTTATTGGAACAAATCGTTTATACTCGATATGCCCTGTTGTGTATATATTTTGGAAACTACTTATTTTGGGCAAAAAACGATTTCCTGTCGAATTCTATCATTTTCGTTTGGAGAAATACAACTTTATAAACTTCGACTTCAAAGTTTTGTTCTGTTATACGTTTCAATGGTATGGAATATGAAATTACAAATGTTGTATAAAAAAGAGACGAGTCAATTGAACTTCTATAAAGATGTAATCTATTCTTAAGTTAGCACATAATGATAAAGAATTCACATCGAATTCAGCTGATATTCTATTCTCTAATATGCTCCAATTATTTCGTGTAGTCAACAATTCTATTTGGTCAAACCTACGACTAATATGTAATCGTGTGCATTTTTTGAGAAATTAATGATACAATCGTGATCATGTTTTTGATGTGACGATAATTTTCTGAAATATATGCAGTAAACACTGCTATATTATCACCACGCAATTTCATTTTTGACTTGGAATGGATGAAAACCATAATTCTTAATTTGCTTATTTATATATATGGAATATTATTAATTCAATCATAATTATACATTATTTACCTCAGAGTGAGACCAATTCGGTTTGTAATGAGCTATCATTCTATGATTTCCAGGTAATTCTAACCGACCTTGACAGAGGCAGCTTTTTGCAAAGAGCAGTCCATCTTTTTCTCAACTTTATTTTCGTTATTATTATTTCAATTTCTGGCTTATGATCAGTACTCGAATATTCTATGATGATAAAAGTGTACTAATTTTTGTGTCAGATATATTGATTCGACAAGTCAGATATGCAGTATAAGTACTAATAGATGGGAAAAGTGTACAGTTTGTAAAGTCTTTGTAAAAAGAATATTTTATGGATCGACGTTTTCGCTTGTTTTACCAAAAATTGGTTCAAAAGTGACATTTTGATGGGATAACAGCTTTGTTCCTCTTTTCTTTTAACAAAATTATTTCCAAGTTTTGACAAGTCAATGTTTGACGAAGAAGATGTACTCGGTAAATTATTTCACTAATCCAGATGAGAGATATTATTGTTGAGGAAATGGGTGAAGAATTGTATTAACGTATCTTTGCAACTTAATTTATTAATGTGGAAACATTTAATTTCCTGTATTTTCAAGAACAGTCGTGAGAAAATCATTAAATTTTATATGTATTTCGAGATATGCTTTACTTCAAAGTAACTACGCACAGTTTTTCATGTATTTTATTTCGGGTATTACAAACAGGTCATGTAATGCACCTTTAGAAATGAATGTTGGGCTTTTAAAGTTTTCTTCCCCTTTTTGCATAGCACATTGTCCTCGACGACAATACTTGAAAAGGATGTAAGCGGGAATTCCTTTAGTCCGTCAGAATTTTTAGTTCAATTTGCAAAGAGGAACGCAATCGACAAAAACCATTGTCATATCTGAAAAGCGAAAATGTTTGGAATTTTGTTGTGAGATTTAAACGATTGTCGCGATAATACATTGTATGCAGTTCTTTTGTCTTTTTTTGAATGGTGATTAAAAACACGAAACACAGAAATGCCACGTTGTTCTCATGTAGTTTATATAGTAATTCCCACAACTTTGTAATCAATATGTTTATGTGTGATATTGGATAATAGCGATGTATGAGTAAGGAACACGAGTATGAGTGCAGTGTGATTGAACTATTACATCATGAGTGTATGCATAATGACTTGGGTGATTATCAAGTTGAGATTTTAGCTTTTTACGCTTTCCAAATTCGAATTTTAAATTGGTACTCTATATTATACTCAAATGACAATTGCTCCGGACTTTATTAATTCTCGTAGAACTATAGGGTTAGGATGCGGGGTACGATTAGGGCTCAGGTTACATTTAGGGCTAGGGTTAGGTATAGTGTTTGGTCTAGGGTCGAAGTTTGGAGTTTGGTTAATGGTATAAAACTCAGAGCCAAGTCTTACAATAAGACAAGCAATTGTCACATGATCATGTCTCGTAAAACCAACTATTACAATTTTTTTGATGATGTGTGATTGTCGAATCTAAATTATGTCGATATTTAACTTTTGAATTTGAGAGTTGTGTATATATTCTGTAAGTGCAATTAGCCCAAGGGTCTGACGTGAATTGAAACGCCTGTTTCTAATTGCCTCTTTCCTTCTCTCTCTCTCTCTCTCTCTCTCTCTCTCCTTCTTTCTAATAAAATCCATAGCCTCTTAGTATTCAGGAAATGTTTGTTCCCAAATAACAAAATAATCTGATATTTGTTTGTGAAGAAACTTTTGAATCTTGACAAAATATTAATTTTGAGAAATTTCTTTTAACTTTCTGATTGTTTCCTTTTAACACTTCGATGTATACATGTGCATTCATGTGTAAGATTTATTCTTAATAGTCAACTATGAAGTGAATTCATATCATTAGTCTGTAGGCAAAGGCTTTTAGAAATTCTAAAACCATGTCGACTCGAGCAGTTCAGTCAGTATTCTGTTCACAATTATAGACGACATACCACTTTCCTTAGTCACAATACTGATTGGTTAATAGATTCAATAATTGATCATGAACGGGGTTTTAAATAAGAATAGAGATATTATATGAATAGATAAGAACGTGTTCTTAAATTGCATATTTCTCTTTTGATAACGAAAATAATATTTTGCATAATGACTTGATTCTTAAGACCCTTTGGCACTTCCCAGCACGTACTTTGGTTAATGAGACTGTGTGCTGTGAAGGGCCGCACTTACATTATAATATATTAAAAACAGGTAATGTTACAATGAATCATTGATACCAATTTGATAGATGAATGATTTTTATACAACTTCCTCCTTTTTTCTTCAAATTGACCACTCTTTCAAATACAATATTTGCGTCAAAGGTTAAACATCAATTTGATTGTGTTAACATAATGAGACATCATTATGTTGATGTAAGAGAGCTGGGAATAACAATAAAAAATAACACGACTTAAGTAAACACAGAATTTAAACATTTTTTCCTGGATTTAAACAAGTCATTTATACGAATATCACCCAAAGTTCGGTGAATCTATTTGGCTTGATAAAGCGCGCGGGATGCAATTAATTTACCATGCGGTTTCCATTCACCCCGCTAATAGCAAATACATTTCATTCAATTTGCAAATATAAACAGTTGATTCAAACGCAATTTGTTAAGCACTTTTGACATCGATTCAGGACCGTGACGTCGCTCAAAATCCCATCAGGAGTTGAGATCGAGAACCACTCGGTTTATATTTATCCAAAAGATAACCAGTCCAGTTAATATTTTTATCTTCAACAGCGCTAATTGAGTTGCTAATTATTGCACCGTGCATGAATTCACCAAATTGCCCCTGTGACCACGACGTTTTGCTATGTCATACGTTTTCAACTTTCTCGACCCGCCAATATCTAGACAGAGTACAATTTTTATCAAAGCACAAAGAACATCTTTTATGAATACCCAAACACATAAAGTGCACGCCATAATCGAAGAGGCACTTCCGCTATAGTTATGTTTACCGTATTATAATGCTATCAGAATTGGGTATTGTAAAAAATTGCGATAAGCGTCCCAATTTAGTTAATTCGAAATAGTAAGTTTGTTTGCACTTTGTAGAGTTGTTATCTGAGATCATCTTATGACCGATCAAAGTTCACAAGGCCTCTGCCCGCATTGAAATGCAATATTTTGGAATTTAATTGTTTGATTTGGTCCAAGAATCGAGTGCCGATATTTTTTTATTTTTTTTTTTTTTGGTTTTCCCCTTTCAAAAATAGTCACAAGTTATAGAATGGTGAGGCACATCCTTGTTCTTAATTGATGATGCGTATATTTCCAGCTCACAAACCCTTCGATCAAAACGAAACAAAACATAACAGAAAATGTAAAAATCAGTCAGTAAATCAAAATACAATAACGGTAAATGGTTGCTCGATTGTTTAAGGTTTGTTTTCTTGAGTTGGAGTTGGATGTTCTTTACTTGTCTTCACATTTGATGAAAATTATAAAAAAAAAAAAAAAACTGTCTGCGGGAGAAAACGTTTTCAATGTGTAAGCTGGCAGGAAAACGAATATGAAAGGATAAGGGTGGTGGTGGTGATGATGATGATTATGGCGATGGTAATGATTGTGATGATGATTTTGGTGATGATGACGATGGTGGTGGTAATAATGTTGATTGTGATAACAATGATGGTGGTTCTATCGCTGCTGCTGTTGATGATGTTAATGATGATGAGTGTGGTGATGAAAATGATACAACACATTGCTGGGTGTGATGGTGATCGATCTTCAGAAATCTGGCGATAAATATTATTGATGATGATGATGATGATGATGATGATGATGATGATGATGATGATGATGACGCTTTAGATGATGATGGTGACGGCCATTGAGGGAGAAGTGATGATAATCGTCATGCAAGTTTGGGATGCTCTTCACTTAATAGCTTGGACCTAGGGGTTTCAAAATTATAACGATTTTAGGATACTTCCAGTCGGGGCAATATAAATGAACATGGGGATAGTGTAGTCTTGATAACAAAAAACAAAACAGATATATGAATAATTAGTTATCTGTAACTTTGTTACAGATGGTTGGTTTACCAGAGTCAAGAACCATTTTTCAT